GACGAAGAAACTCGCCATCACAATACAATTTGATTTGTCATTCTATCACATGTATTAACTTATTTGATTCACAAATTTAATATTACATAGCTTTGTTATTCTTCGTTTTTAACATAATATTAATTTATGCAAGTATGCTTTCATATGTTTTGTAAAGGATGGGGGTCTTGAAAAATAATTTTCCGATCACGAAACATTGCCGTAATCAGACCTACAGATTCTAAATGTTTGGAATAAAAAACGAAAATATCTCGAAATTCCTATACCTTAGAACTAGTTAATGTTTCTAAAGTAATTGAAAATCACGTTGGGAATTAATTTTTTCAGCATTTTTCATAATTATGCTGCATTTGTCGTTGATAACTTCGTAAATAGTGTGCAACTTCTCATCTCTCTATCACTGAATTGTTGCCTATGACGTCAGAGCAGTATTTCCCCAAAATCCGACTGAAATATGCATATTGCCGTATTTGAATTTCAACTCTCAATATCTCTTAAAATATGCTTTCAACAACGTTTATTGTATTCAGAATTTTAATAAACAAGGTTGTAGATAATATTTTTCATAAAATTAAGATTTTTCAAAATCATGCGATAAGTCCTTTAAGGAAGCATAAAAAATGACAGTGTGATATATTTTTTTTAAAGCTTATTAAAATGATTTGGGGGGGGGGGGCACATACGGTGCCCTTGATAATGTTAAATGTTTGAATATACTTTTTGTACCAATTATCAAAATGTCTTTAAAATATGTAAAAGAATATTAATTTTATAATAATTATCGTAGTGTCCAAACATGTCACGGCTCTAATGGGTACATGGTATGAGATCAAGTCCAATTAATAGTATAACAAAGAAAGCGCAGAATGGCGAGATAATTTTATTATAACAACAACACACTAATTGACAATAATTCTCGCGGAAGTGAAGCATTTCTAATCCCTGTACTTTCTGCATGTAAAGTCAGCAGTTTTTAATGAGGAAAACTACCTTATCAACTGTGTCTGAGGGAAGACGGTTTCTCAATTTTAGGATGAGAATTCCATCTCTTTATCACTCTTTTATTGAATTTATTTATTCGAATGTCGTTTCGTTATTCGATCGTCGGTCCATTCGACTGATGGTCGAATATTCGACTATTCGTTGACATCCCTAGTTTCTACACTTAATTCGAATTTTCTCTGATTTATTTGTCTATTGTTTCTATATTCTGCTTTGTTCAGAATTTTACATTTGCAAATATCCATACACTGCAGATTGGTTTTTTTTCCTCCGCATCTCACTATTCTACAACTGAATGATGGTGGAGGTGTAATTTATAAGTCAAAATGGCGATTCTAAATGATGGATATCCATTTTTTTCTAATTATTTCTTAATGTCGTTCAAATAGGAGAATTGATGTGTTAATATCTTATTGAGCGTAATGCAATTATGAAAAGGATAATAGAACACTAATATTATCACTTTAATTCGGAAAATTTAGTCGTTTAAATTTGAAAGTTGTGTTAATTAGCTCAAAATGGCGAACGCTAGAATTATATAAAATACTCAAACTGCTTAATTCTGAGTCATTTTGCTGAAAATAAAAGGAAATTAATTACAGTTTGCATTTTAAAATTAATAAAATAATGTTTAAATATTCAATAAAACTTTGAGAATATTGTTGTTAATGACTTATAATTTTTATGACACTGATCTTTGTTTTATTACTTCTATTATTAAGATAAGCTTTTGACTACATCTACGAAGAACTTTTACCTATTACATATCTAACCTTGCTCCTTATATAAAAAGTTAATGATATCACACAATAATTGCTGTTTGGATGACAATATGAAAATTAAGCTACCCCAAGAGCAGTACTCCCCGAGCGAACATTGCAGTTCGAGGGTTGCTAAATTATCTCTGAGTCAGTTGTTGGAAATTTTTTATCTACTTTTAGTCCATGCAGTGTAGAAAAAATAAATGTTTATGTTCATGTGGAAGGTCTAGTGCAACATAACTTAGTGCATGATTTTTAAAATGATGGACCACAACCAGAGAGCTAGGAATTATTAAAACATATAAATTTGAATGTAATATACTATATATTAACATATTTATTAAGAATTTTCAAAACCAGTAAATTATACGTAAACCATAAATATTCTTGATTGTCTAGCTCTGATTCTGCGTCCCTGCATTTGCACTTTGTTATTCATAGCCAACAAAAATTAACTGTATTCACAAATATTTAATGTTGTGAACGGATAATCTTGTATTGTTTCATTTAAAATTAAGCGACTGCAAAATTCCTTTTTTTAAGGAATATTGTATATGTTCAAAATCAAAATCGAAATCGATAATCCAAACATATTTTTTGTCATACTCGGATGGAATTCGGTGCCTATTGTTTTAAAATTAACAAAATCGGAAAGAGGAAAATGTTTAATCTCCCCTCGATTCTTGATACACTACCCTAACAAAGTAATATGGGTCAAGTTGCTTTGTAAAGTTCTTGGAGTGTTCAAGAAAATTTTGTTGTCAAGAGAAGTGTTGACTAGATCAAAGTCAAGAATGGCTTCGGCCTATTTGTACTTTGTACGTGATAGAAATCACAAGGAATCTGCAGGTGCTTTTAGATCTCACAGTTATACAACTTTTCTCACCAAAAATGCACACAGTGTGATTCCAGATGATATAGTTTGAGAATTTTCTTGCTAATGGAATGACCTTTCTACCCAAAAAGACAACAAATCGATATGGTCACAAAAGAGAAAGCTACATGTCTTATCAGAGATTTTTTTCTCCATTTTGCATAAGGTTTTGGAAAACAAAACAGTCTTTTAATATTTGAACATAAATGTGTTGTTCCTTGAGCTGTTGAGAAGACCAAAATTCCGAAGACTAACTGAACATATAGCATTTAAAGATGGAATAGAGGATGTTGGGGGAAAATACTAAGCTCTTACAAGTGCTAATTTTAAAAGCTAGTGCAAAGGATTCAATGAAGTCGGGCAAGAATTTCTTCAGCTTATTTACTATTTGCTTGATAGATTGTGCATTTGCTTGCAAAGAAAAATGGCATCCATGGATAGTATTAGACTGCAATAGAATCTGACAATCAAAGAAAATATGAATTCTTTACCCTCAAATAAATTATTAAATTGAAATAATTTAAAATATATATTTATCGTTTTATAATTATTGATACGTGTTTCTAACAATCCTCCACAGAGATTTCAGTCTGTCTTTACTGTAATTGTCAGTCTGCATGATCCATTGTATAATACCGATCTCAATATATTTTCATAGTATCTAAATCTAAGTTTGTTTGGAAACTGAATATCATACAGTTTCAAAGTACAGCATTATGAGCTCACAATCATGTATAAATGCGAATTATCAAAATCCTCCCTCTCAAAATTCAAAAGTCATAAGTTAAATTAAACTGTCCGGGTATTTTTTTGCAAAGGAGGCCAAAAGTCAACGTCAAGTGTATTGTAATGCTATTTTTTAATGCCTTATGACGAACAGTGAACATGCTAAATAGCATAGACTTGCCTCTTAAATATCAAAAATATGCTGTATATCTGCAACATGAACTATTTTGAAAAGTAGGTCAAAGGTCAAGGGTCAATAGCTCGATAACCATGGAATTTATAAAAGCCATACTGCAAAATATTTAATCCACATAATATTGAGAGATATACACCCCACATGCAGGTGATAAGGGTATATATTGCTGTATAAGTAAGGGGATTTGACGATTGAAAAGTTAAAGTCATCACGTTTATCATAAAGCTGGTTGTAAGATTACCATTAACGTATTTTTTTAGTGAAATATCCAAATATGAAACAGATGTGTCAGGCTCTGAGGTATCTATTATTTCAAGCTCACTGGGATATATATCGTGTCGACATATGAATGGAAATAACTGTTATTAATTGATAATACGTCGTCGATATATCTAAATGTCGAGTTGAAAGCCACAGCAGAGATTTCTTTTAAAGGAAAACAAAAATAGGTCTTTTAACAACGAAGCGCAATTGGTACCCATGGGAATTCCAACACATTGTTGGAAGGGCTGGTTTCCAAAAGCCACATAGATATTGTCAATCAGAAACTCAAGTATGTTTTAATATCAACTTCAGAGTACTTGCGTGTACAATCAGAATGTTTTTAACAAAATAATTTTGCAAATAACCCATGACAAGGTAAGTAATTTTACGAGTTCCATTTTTATTGAAAAAGCAACTTTCATTGATGTCAAAAAGCCTGGACTTCAAATTTATCGTGGGGAATGGTTGTATAAAGATTGAAAAGTCTTAAGTTTTTCTGTTATTGATTTTAGTAAAATTTTGTACATGTAATATCAAATTTTCCAAAAGTTCCTTGGAATTTTTAAGTATCCACACCTGATTTACTCCACTTCTCGAATATATTGTTGTACAGTACTCCTGAAGTTTGTCCTTCATTGCTGTAAATATTTAATGAGAAGTAGTCAAAGAGGCTTGGTAGAACATTTACTGGAACCCGCCATGTATTTTTGTTTGTAAGGATTTTTATGAAGTTTCGGAATCCAATACAAATATGGTACTTCAAATTCATTTTGGTTGTTGGGAATATTAAAAATATTCAAAACTGACATATGATTTTAAGAACCTCCTCCCCAGAAAGGGAGCTATGGGTGTAAGTTGAATTGCCACTTGTAGAATTAAACTTCTAAGGTTTAACTTTTCTGGTGCAGTGGTTTTTCAGGGTTTTTTTTTTTTTAACAGTCGTCCTATTTTGGCCTAATTTCTCGATTCCCTTTCAAAGATTAATTTGTAACAGAATTAGTTTAAATAAGCACATTTGTTCTTGGAAAAAAAAGGAAATATATATGTAAAAAAAAAAAATACAACGCTAAACACAATATCGACGGACAAACTTTGCTTAGAAAAGCTCACTTGATCTTTGGCGTTGGTGAACTAAATACTTTCAGTGGACATTCTTTAATACGAAAGAATACATTACCGAAGGAAATATTTCGTTCAAATCGTAGTCTCTGCATCTTCATTTCTTCCTCCATTTCTTGAAGTTTTGAGTCATTGAATGGCAGACGACCATTAACCATGGCAAACAAAACTATTCCTCTTAAAAAAAAGAAAATTTCTAATCAGTAAGAATTCTTATAGATTTATAATATATATATATATATATATATATATATATATATATATATATATATATATATATATATATATATATATATATATATATATATATAGTGTACCCGTATTCTGATAAAAACGGGTATACCGGTACCTATCCTGTTGCAACAAATTTTGAATACTTTATTCAGAATATATTATAACTTTTTTTTATTTGGTGGAATGCTTATTATCGGGTCAAAATTTTTTGACACATCACTTAAAAGAACTATTTGTACCTATTCTATTGCAAGTTTTCAATAGTTTAAACTATATAGTTTTAATCGTGATGGAGACAATTACAGACGTTTCTGAACCAACCCCCCTCCCTTTCCACTCCTTCCCGGTCCCCATTCTCTTATAAGCTTTATTAGATTAAGCAAAATCTTTGTATTATAGACTTTTACAAACTTATTTTCCAAAGTATTTTGGGGAAATAACTATGCACGTATAGCACAATTAGCATATTAAGCAAATCAGATTTAAGTTCAATGTACATGAATAGGATTTTAAAAACTCATCGTACAGAATTGTACATGTGCATCATCACAAAGAATGTCATAATGAGAGCTCCATTTTATATTTTAAAGAATTCCATTGAATACCTAGAACGTTACAACAAAATAAATATAAACCAATCAGAAATCAGCACACATGTATGCATGTCCACCAGCAGAGGCCTCGACCCAGGGGTCATAATATAAATCATAATATAAATCATAAAAAAAGACTTGGAAGAGCCGAAAAAAGGTGCCAAAGACTAGAGCCAAATACGTTGAAGGATCAGGAGACATAATTTGTCGAAATGCGCATCTGATGCATCAAAATTGGTACCGTATATATGATTTAAACAGTACCAACCAGACCCAACCTGACACTAAGCAATCCCCAGGACTGCTTTGGGAGCGCTCTGGGACTGCTGTGGGTCTGCTCTGGGACTAAATGTCTTCAGGGGCTGTAAATTTACACGATTGTAGCCTAGAATTAATTTTAAAAAATGAAATTAGTTAAATAGGGAAATCAGGGGATGATTTTTATCTCTTAAATTAAACTTCAATACAGGTATTTAAAAAAAATATCTAGGCCTATTTAATAAATCAATGCTATCAAATTATGTATACTTAAAGTTTGCATTAGCACTATTAAAAAAACAAACAAACAAAAAACAATTAAACTTGTCATTTCATTAAGATATTCAGAGGACGTACTGTACTGGATTTTTTTTTCTTAATTGAAAAGGCTAATACCATGCTTAAAAAAGAGCACTCCATGCTATTTTTACCACCCTCAAATAAAACCTAATAATTTATTAAATGACCATGAAATAAAATTATTCTACCATTCTTCTGTCACATAAACAATGTGAATAATTATTGGGGGATTTATTTATAAATTAGTTTTTAATTTATAAACAAGTTATTGAAATAGTACATTAATTTAAAAAAATTGAAAATTACGGGATTTGGGACTTATTTCTTATTTGTTTTGTTTGTGTTTACCTGGCCGATTGATAAAAAGCAATCAATATAGTATAAAATGGTGTCACACCTGAGGTTTCAATCGGCTTTGGTCATAATAAGCAGAAAGTCAATGCATGTTACTTGGGTATCAGTGTTACACATCACTGAACACGCTGGTCAACGATGACACTGATTTCAATCTATGTATTGCAAAAAATCTTTGTTTCAATAATTGTGTATAAAATTGTTTCGGGATTAATTAATTTTGAACATAATCTGAGGATTCCATTTCCGTGATTTACAGATGCACATTTGAACGTTTATATAATAACACAAAAAAAGTGAGAATCTAACGATAATTAAATTGGCAAGTCATTGAAAATAATCATGACTGAAACATAATACTCGGAAAAATTTATCAAAGAATTTTTCAAAAGCCTCGATACTTAGGAAAATGCATTCAGAGTATAGTATGGGAATTGGCCTTATTCTATAATTATAAGATCTATTTAAAGCTATAGCTAATTCTGGTAGAAAATAAACAATTCAAATTTAATTTTCTATTAAAAAAATAACACAGAGATACATTCTTAAGATTTCAAACAATTTCAATGAAAACGTAGAAAGTTACAACAACCTGAATATTAACTAATCAGAATATAACACACGTGCATGTATGTCCTTGTATTTATTTCTGATGATACCATAAACATATCATGAAAAAAATACAAAAGTTACGACTATATCAAGTAGCACTAAAAATGACCAATGACACGAAGAATAATAATTGTCAAATTTTCGGGACGCCCTGTCCCTTCCTCGGGACAAAGAAAAAAGTTAAGAAGTCATAAAAACAAAGGAAATAGAGAAGCAAAAACAACTAGCACTACTACTAAACTACCAAACACTAAATATTTACAATGTTACATGTTTAAATGGACGTTTATAAACAGTTGTGAACAAAGAAATCCGGAGCGCTATGAATTGCGTCCGGTCTATCGGGTGCACTATGGTGAAGTGCCATTTACATAATTGAACGAATTAATTATCGCTAATTAATTACGACCAACAGTAAATCGTACATTGTCTTATTCTCTCAAAATAGCGTAACTCTACATGATAAAAAGAAATTAAAGAAAGATAATACGGAAGGGCAATTTTGAAATATGAATTTGGATATATTATAAATTTGGAAATTGGAAAAAAAAAAATAAGCAAAAATGTAAGCTGTAAAGATTTGGGTAGGTTGTTCCAGGATTGCTAATGCGAATTAACGGTAAAGTTTACACTACATAGAGAGAATGAACTTGTTTGTTACAATCCGGGATTGGCTCTAGTTCACGTTCATCCTGGTGAAATCATTAAGTTTGTTAATACCATTTGGGCGGATTGACTTCAGCCTGTGCATCCAGTACTTTTCCTTGCCTTTTCTCTGCGGGTTTGTCCATCTTGGATTATGGTCAATAACCACTACTGTCATGTCCTCCCATTTGTGACCTTCAAGGTTGAAATGTTCCCCAACGAGTTCATTGAGTTTTTTGGTCCTAATGGTAGAACGGTGATTATTGACTCTCCTGCGGAGATCTCCTGTTTCACCAACATACTGTTTGGAGCAAACTTTGCAACTGATGAGATAAATGCAGTTGTCTGTTTGACAGGACAAATTCCCTAGTATTTTGTAGCTGCGGCCTGTAACGGGGCTGTTAAAGCTGTCTGTGTCAGAGCTGTACTTACAGAGAAGACATCTTCTGTCAGAACAAGTTTTAAAGCCCCCGTTAGGTAATGGATTGTCCAATCTAGTTCTTACTACCATGTCCTTTAAGTTCCTCGGGCGTCTGTATGCAGCCAATGGGGGCTCCTTAAAGACCTCTGCCATTCGTTTATTTGAGTGGAGAATTGGTAGATTCCTTTGAAGGATACCGCTGAGGTTCTTAAGGACGGGATGGTATGTGGTTACCAGAGGTACCCTGCCGCTATTGTCTTTTTCCTTGTAGCGTAATAGGTTTTGCCTGTCATGTCCCGCCATCTCATCAATAGCAGTTTGTACGGTGCGGGCATTGTAGCCTCTCTTGCATAAGTGGGACTTAAGGAGACCGCTTTGTTCCTGATATAAGGCAGGGGATGAACAGATGCGCCGAATTCTGGTGGCTAGACCCTTAGGCACACCCTTAAATGTGTGTGGGGGATGACAGCTAGTTGGCATAAGATACAGATGGGAATCTGTGGGTTTCGTGTGGAGACTGAACTCGATTTCACCATCAGTCAGGGTAGATGTAGTATCTAGGAATATGTTTTTCGAATTAGATACGTCTACTGTAAATTTGATAGACTGATGAAAGGTGTTGGCAAACGAAATGAATGCCTCGAGGCTCTCGCGACATTCCGCCCACTTCATCTCTATATTGTCAATGAAACGCAACCAGCTAAGGGGCCTAAATGGTGCTTGAAGTAGTAAGTTGCGTTCAAGTCTGCCCATGAAAATATTGGCATAAGATGGTGCCATTTTCGTACCCATAGCAGTGCCATTAACCTGCAGGTAGTGTTCTCCATTAAACATGAAGTTGTTATACTTGAGAACATGTTCAAGGAGCTTGGCAAGGGACTCGGTAGAAGGAATTTGTATGGATCTACTATCCCAGACTTCTCTACAGGCTTTGATACCCTCATCGTGCGGAATATTGGTGTACAAAAATGTGACGTCCATAGTCACGAGAAGGGTATGATCTGAAAGGCCATGTTCTCAAGTATAACAACTTCATGTTTAATGGAGAACATTACCTGCAAGTTAATGGCACTGCTATGGGTACGAAAATGGCACCATCTTATGCCAATATTTTCATGGGCAGACTTGAACGCAACTTGCTACTTCAAGCACCATTTGGGCCCCTTAGCTGGTTGCGTTTCATTGACAATATAGAGATGAAGTGGGCGGAATGTCGCGAGAGCCTCGAGGCATTCATTTCGTTTGCCAACACCTTTCATCAGTCTATCAAATTTACAGTAGACGTATCTAATTCGAAAAACATATTCCTAGATACTACATCTACCCTGACTGATGGTGAAATCGAGTTCAGTCTCCACACGAAACCCACAGATTCCCATCTGTATCTTATGCCAACTAGCTGTCATCCCCCACACACATTTAAGGGTGTGCCTAAGGGTCTAGCCACCAGAATTCGGCGCATCTGTTCATCCCCTGCCTTATATCAGGAACAAAGCGGTCTCCTTAAGTCCCACTTATGCAAGAGAGGCTACAATGCCCGCACCGTACAAACTGCTATTGATGAGATGGCGGGACATGACAGGCAAAACCTATTACGCTACAAGGAAAAAGACAATAGCGGCAGGGTACCTCTGGTAACCACATACCATCCCGTCCTTAAGAACCTCAGCGGTATCCTTCAAAGGAATCTACCAATTCTCCACTCAAATAAACGAATGGCAGAGGTCTTTAAGGAGCCCCCATTGGCTGCATACAGACGT